AATGAAATAAACTTTTAGTAGTCTTTTATCCTTCTAGCTTGAGTACCGTGATGATTTAACCTTTTCTAATTAGCTGATGAAAGAATAAGGAATGATGAATTTGGCTTGTCATACTTATTGTTTGAGGAATTACTTTTATGTCAATATCAGAACCCGCCAGAATTTCAATCCATTTTGGCCTAATAATCCTATCTTTCGAATTACATCTTGCCTTGCCCTCAAGGTATGACGTTTACAGAGAACTCTTAAAAGTCGCCGTTCTCTCGGGCCGTTACCTGAATGCGGTAGGCACCAACGAGCATAAACTCAACACACGTGTCCTCATCACACTTGACTATGCCAACATTTGCCTATACCAGCCTGTTGACTGTAAAATGCCCTTGGGGTCGGATCAGTCGAAAAATCTCTCAGTACCATTAAACACACCCAATGGATTCCCAAATCGTTTGGGCCAGTCGCCCTCTCGGACAAAGTATGAATTCCGTTCACAAGCAGAAAATCTGTCCAGAATATCTTCACAACCTAGTCTGGAGGAGCCCGAATACGTTTACACTTCGCCTGCACGGCCTTATGATATTACCACAAGACTGAAGCATCGGCAGCAGGAAAAAGAGACGCGGAAGAGAAAACGCAATCTCTTGCGAGCCGGGAAGCGCGGAGGCTTGGCTGAAGATATGTTTAACATTGACTTGGTACCGTTGCCTCCGGAATTTTACACAAGCGTCTGCCTGGACACAGCAAGGCCAGTCTGGGATACACTAGTTGTCTACAAGGTTAGTTTACGAGCCCTCCATTTCAATATCTATTTTTGATATGTCACTCACGACAAGTAGATTAATTAAAGATTCAACAACTTTGCGTATATTTCGCATAAAAGTGAATGAAATTATTCGTCTTTCGCGATTATATGGCGCAGCTGGTAACCGATCTGCCTATATACAAATGAGATCCTGTTAAATATCAAAAACATCTGCCCTTTTTTAACCTCTCATGTTATGTTGTATTTGCAGCTAAATGAGTGTAGCTGAGACGAAATGAAATTTATTGGTGCACTAAGTGGAATTATACTTGTTATGTCGGCATCGGAAATAACAATCTATCCCATTGCGTTGGCATTCAGAAAATCCAATAAAATCAAGATCTCTTGCAAATATGAATGAAGTCCCTTATTCTAAAAGTTGTTAATGACTAGTCTGAGTGAAGAAGAGTAAAATTAAACTGTTAGGGGACCTTCATTTCAAATGAAAGTGCATGAAGAAGAGATTCGTTGGTCGATCTCACTAGATGAGGACGGATGAAACTGGTTGTACTGCAGCCGTTTGACTTTTATACGATATTCATGTTGACGCAGTCCACGAGACTTCCTCCCTCGTTTCGGGTGAAAACCTGCTCAGATTTCGTAATCATCATCAGAACTGAGTGTCATTCTTGTAAAAGTCTCACGTTAACACTATCCGGCTCTATCTTACTTCTTATATAGACTCAATTGAGCCAAAAATTAAAAATTAAAAATCTTGATAGAG